GGCACAGCAGGTGGCGCCATCCCTGAAGGAGAGTCACACCAGACACCAAGTCTGTCAGCAACTTGATCTTGGACTTTCGGCCCTCCAGAACCTTGAGAATAAATTCTGTTGTCTATAAATCACCCAGCCTATAGTATTTTGTTTTAGAAACCCAAGAAGATTAAAACAGGCATATTTTACTGGCCTATTTTTCTTAATTGAGGAGCAGGAAGGTGGTGAAGCTGTTTAAGGGCTAGGGAAGGTGGGGAAACCTGTGGGGCCACTGGAATGGGATGTGGCTCAGTGATTCTGGTGCTGGGAGAAGTGAGTGGCACAGGTGAAGCCTGGCTCTGGGGAGAGGCCATGGTCTAGATAAGACCACAAGAAAAGAGGAGTATCAGGGAGGATCAGCCAGAGCCTGAGGTGAGTGGCAGTAATGCTGGCCAGTCCTACCTCAGGCCTATGGCTCTCAACATCAGCCCAGCTGGCCTATGACTTATTACGATCCCCAGTGTCCCGTGAGGGACAGTGTAGAGTCCAGATGGGGCCTTGGGCTCCTTGAGCCCAAACTACTAACTAACCACTGACTCATCCCTCATCCTCCAGTTGACCAATACCTGATCCCTCAGCTGACCCATCCCTGATCTCCTAGTTGACCCATCCTAACCCTCTATCTGACCTTCCACATGACCAGTCCTCCAGACCAATCCTGACCTGCCAACTGACATCCTTGAACACCCAACTGATTCATCCTGACCCCCCATTTCACCTATCCTTGACCTTCCAGCTGACCCATCCCTCATCCCCCAACTGATCCACACTTGACCATCACTGACTATCTTCCTCCAGTGGGCAGCAAATGCCCATAAACCAGCATTAGTCTGTCCACCAACTGGAAGAGTTCTGCCCTGGGCTGAGGGTGAGGCCAGAGCCCAGGCCCCAGGGAGGTGGCCTAGGGCCCAAGGGTAGCCCTCCAGGAGAAGCAGCTCCCACCTCCAACGTTCAGAGCCTGACTGAGCAGCAAGGGGACCTGGCATCCCAGCCACCTGAGCAGGGGTAGCTGCAGCCAGGCAGTGAGATGGCAGGCACCTATAGGGAGGGGGCATGGCTAGAGGCATGATCAGTGTGGCTGTGGACCTCTTCCTGGGCCAGGGAGAGCCTCCTTGCTGTGTGGCCCAGGGCTTGCTGAGTTATACCCTCGACACAGAGGCTTCTGGGGACCAAGGCAACTCAGGATCACTGCTACAGGACAGATAAGGCAACGAGGGGAGATGCTAAGCTCAGCACAGCCGGATGTCTTTCTGGAGAATTGGTGTCAGCTAAATGACACTATAAGTCAGAGCCCATGGGGACCCAGAAGTTGGGAGGAGGTGAGTGGTCAGTGTTTTCTTCGTAGGGGGATTTTAACATCTCCCTGGCACCATTTCCTCCAGCCCCATAGCCACAATTCTGCTCAGCTTCTGGGAGTTTGGCTTCTACATTCCACAGCTGGAGGATCAGGGATGGCTTAGCTGCAGAATCCAAAAGAGAGATCATGTGGTAGCTGTCCTTCTGTGCCTGGCTTCTTTCATTTGGCATAAGGTCCTCCAGGTTCATCCATGTCAGGAAAAGAGGATTCCCTTCTTTTCTACGACTGAGTAGTATTCCATTTGTATACAGCTGGCCCTTCACATCTGCAGGTTCAACCAATCTAAGATCAAAAACCATTTTTAAAAATTTTGTCTGCCCTAAACATGTGTGGTCTTTTTTTTGGTGCGCAGGAGCTGGGGGGCGGGTACAGTCTTTTTTGGGGGGGAGATCATAATTTCTTTTTAAGATTTTTTAGTTGTCAATGGATCTTTATTTTAGTTATTTATATGCAGTGCTGAGAATCGAACCCAGTGCCTCACGCATGCTAGGCAGGTGTTCTACTTCTGGGCTACAACCCCAGCCCTGGTCACGGTTTCTTAAACCGTATAGCAGAACAAATACTTACATAGCATTTACATTGTATTATGTACTAGAAGTCATCCTAGGTGACTTAAAGATTTTAGGTTAGACACAAATGGCATGCTATCATATATAAGGGTTGTAACCACACTTAAGGTTTGGGATCCACAGGATCCTGAAGTCAGTCCCCTGTGAGTACTGAGGACAACTACAATGTCCTCTAGGTTCATCCATGTGGTCAAAGATGTCAGGGTTCCATCCTTTTTAAAGGCTGCATGGTGTTCCTTCCACTGTCTGGACATCACATTTTCAGTGTCATTCATTCCTTGGTGGGCACACAGAGGATTATCAATCTTGGCTGTTGTGAACAGTGCTGCTGTAAATACAGGAGTGCAGGTGTCTCTTGAACACAAACACACTTCATCTCCATTGGATATGTGCCCATAAGTGCAATTGCTTCCTATGGTGGGCTTTACTTTTCATTTTTGAGATAGGAGATTATTGGTTATGTGGATGAGGCTGCGAGGACAGACCCAGCAGAACAGTCTAACATGAGGGCTGGAGGGGGACAGACCCACACCTGGAGAGGGTACAGACACAGCAAAGCCAGGCTGGAGCCCCACATGACACAAACTGTCTCTAGGGGTGTCTCTGAGTCTGCCCCAGGCTTCATTCTTCTTCTGGAACCTCATACTTCTTTTTCTTAACTTCCTTAATAAAATGCCTGCCCTAGGGAGGTGTGTGGAGGGACTGAGCTAATCCTGACGAAGATGTGTATGCAGGGACAGTGGGCCTGGATAGGCCTCCTTGCTCCTACATAGAAGTGGGCTGGCCCAGCAGAAGTGAGCTGCACATGGGCACGTCCAGAGGTATCTGCTGTGACCACCCAGAATGATTCAATGTCCCACCTTATAAGTGGTCTCCAGGTGATGGCAGGAGCAGCACCAGCGCTACTTCATTCCACCTAGAAAGCATTCTACCTAAAAAGCATTCCTCTCACCCCTCCTCCTCTCAGACATCTGGTCTACTTGTACCTGGCCCTTTCAGGGCTCCTCTGTTTTTCTCTTCTTTGGTTCTCCCTGTTCTTTTTATTATTTCAGACACATTCAGTTATCAGGATCATATTTTTAAAAATTGAGGTGAAATTCATGTGACGCATGGTGAACCATTTTTAAGTGAACAGTTCCAGGAAATTAAGTACATTCACAGTGTTGTGCAACTGTCATCTCATCCTGGTTCCCAAACATTCTCATCACCACCAAGGATCCTGTACCCATTAGGCAGTCCCTGTTACTCTTCCCCTTCCTCCAGCTCCAAGCTACTAATCTGCTTGCTGCCTCTCTGAATTTGCCTGTTCTGGACACTTCATGTAAATGGAATTATACAATATGTGTGTTTTTGTGTCTGACTTACTTGGCGCAATGTATGAGGTTCATCTATGTTGTAGCATGAATCAGTGCTTCATTCCTTTTTAATGACAAGTAATTTTCTTTAGTGAGGATAAGGCCACTACTGTTGACCCATTCATCAGTTATTTCTGCATTCCAGACAGTGTGAACAATGCTGCTGTGAACATTTAAGTACAAGTGTTTGTTGGGTGCATATTTTCATTTCTCTTGGGCATATTCCTAGAAATGATTTGCTGGTCATGTGGTGCTTTCTTCCTTTTACAAGAATCTAATAAGTGTTCTCTTAGAGAGACAGGTAGTTCTTTACATTTCTGAAACTGATAATCTGATAGATCCCCAGATCTTAGGAGCTGACCAATCAGAGCTTTTTGTGATGATGAAAACATCTTCTATCTCTGCTTTCTAACATGGTACCTGCTGGCCATGCAAAACTAGAGCTCAAATGAAATTACTCATTTACATTAAATCTTAATCAATTGAAAATAAACAGCCCTGTGGCTTCTTGCTGTGTACTGGATGGTTCAGTTTTAATGGCAAAAGATGAAAAGCTACCCTGAGTAGACCACCGCCATTGCTGCCCTCTTAATAACTCATTTGAGTAATTTTTATGTAGATGTGAAAATCCATGGTGATACTTGAAATATCTACATCCCAGTCCCTGAAAGTTTCTTGTTAAATGCCACTTAAGGTAGAATGTGATAGATATCATCATCCAAAGTACATGTATGAAGATACGAATTGGTGTCAACATACTTTATATTTAACCAGAGATATGAAAAATTGTGCTGTATCTATGTAATAAGAATTGTAATGCATTCTGCTGTCATTCACTTAAACAAAATCATTAAAAAATGCCACTTAAATGCCACTGAGACCCACAGAGTCATGAATACATACAGTTAGAATTGCAGCCTATCACTAGAAACGTGAGGAATCTCTGGAAGATCAGTCTTTGCAGCCCATTTTACTGAAGTAGGGCATATACACATGTTGCATGAACTACATACTTTCTGTGAATATTTTATTGCTGAAAACCATACTATTAGAGCAGCTCCTTATCAATTTTTATGCACTAGTTTCCCACACTGAGATATTTTGTAAAGGCAAGCAGATTTGTGATTAGCTCCACAGATGGTATCTAGAGAGCCCTGGTTTGAGCAGATCCAGTTTTAGTAGGATAAATACATATTGTGTGCAAAATTATATAATGTATATTACATAATATTCCTGAATTGCATTGCTGGCTTGTATTTATTGTTTATAATAAAATTAATAAAACAGTACAGGTAATAACAAGGTAAAAAAGGTACCATTTACTGAGCTCTGATTTTTGTGGCACACATCATTCAAGGGATCCTGATAGATCATGACAGAGCTCACCTAGTCCCCTCTATTAGGGTAAGTGCTATTAGAATGGCCATTTCTGTCCAATTTGCTTGGAGCTCTCCAGTCCTCCTTTTTAATAAAAAGTGGAGATAATGAAGTAATCTTCAAAAAAGTCCACACGAATGCTACTTTATCTGTCACTAGCAGTTTTAATTTGCTGTTTATTAAAATGTAAATTTAAATATGCTAAACTCAGAAACCTAATTCAGTGTACAAATTTTGTTCTGACTTAAGCAAAAGTGAATCTTCAACATTTGACCAACTCAGATTTAAAATAAAACTTAATTCCTTTTACTCATTCATGAATAAATCTTAAAAATGTTTACACACCCTTTAAGACTAACAACTTGGTTCTTTTCAAGTATTGAGAACAGGTCTAGCAAACAAACCCTTTACCAAGACCTTTTGAAATCCCAGTTCAATTAGATCCTGATTTTGGAGGACTTTGTTTTGTTAAAATTTAGCTATTTTGACTGGTTCACTCTCATTCCAAGTGGAAACCCCAAGATTCACCTATCAGAATTCCAAATGGCAAATTTTATTAAAATGTAATACACTTTTAATATCAGATGAACCGACCCAATTGTCCCTAGGAGAAAAAAACGCAATCCTGACTTTTTTGGAATCCCAAGTACCTGTCATTGGTAATTCTGGGGACACTTAACAGAGGATAAAGCCCCACTATTCGCAAGCAAATGGACAGGCCCGGGGGTTTTCCCGGCCTCTAGCAGAAGCCCGTCGCCCACCTCGCGCACGTGCGTGTCCCTCCCTTGCGCCATGGTCCCAGTTTGAGCCCTTTGCTTTGACTAATGCGCACTAATGCTCTTAAAGGAATCGAAGGGGACCCCGCCCCAGGCCAAAAGGCTGCGAGCTCAAGGCGGCTCTTTTCTAGAATCAGTGGTGGCTCTGAAAAGAGCCTTTGGTGTCCACGGGGCGCGCACAGGCGGCAGGGCCTCACTTGCCCTTGGCTTTGTGGTGACTCTCCGTCTTCTTGGGCAGAAGCACCGCCTGGATATTGGGCAGGACGCCGCCCTGCGCAATGGTCACGCGGCCCAGCAGCTTGTTGAGCTCCTCGTCGTTGCGGATGGCCAACTGCAGGTGGCGGGGGATGATTCGCGTCTTCTTGTTGTCACGGGCCGCGTTGCCCGCCAGCTCCAGGATCTCGGCCGTCAGGTACTCGAGTACTGCAGCCAGGTACACCGGTGCGCCGGCGCCCACGCGCTCTGAGTAGTTGCCCTTGCGCAGCAGCCGGTGCACGCGGCCCACCGGGAACTGTAGGCCCGCGCGCGAGGAGCGGGACTTGGCCTTGGCGCGCGCCTTGCCGCCCTGCTTGCCACGGCCAGACATTTCTGACGCAAAGAAGACGAAATCGAAAAATACAACAGGGGATATCAGGACTACAGGCCCCGGCGAGCCCTTATATAAGATCCGGAGGTCGGCTAAAAAGCACCGTCTGATAGGATGGCATCGATAGCCAATCAGGAAAAGACACCAACATTTCCCGCCCCCCTGATTTGCGTAAGTCTTTCCAAGCGATGACGTAGTAAGACGTTCTATCCAACCAGAAGCGAGTAGTTCCTGATCCTTCATTTGAATTCAAGGCGTACAAATAGAGTTCTTGTGGTCCTCCCTGCAGTCTGTCAGAGGAGACCCGCCATCATGCCAGATCCTTCCAAGTCCGCTCCGGCCCCCAAGAAGGGCTCCAAGAAGGCCGTGACCAAAGCGCAGAAGAAGGACGGCAAGAAGCGCAAGCGCGGCCGCAAGGAGAGCTACTCCATCTACGTGTACAAGGTGCTCAAGCAGGTGCACCCCGACACGGGCATCTCGTCCAAGGCCATGGGCATCATGAACTCGTTCGTCAACGACATCTTTGAGCGCATCGCCAGCGAGGCCTCCCGCCTGGCGCACTACAACAAGCGCTCGACCATCACKTCCCGCGAGGTGCAGACGGCCGTGCGGCTGCTGCTGCCCGGGGAGCTGGCCAAGCACGCTGTGTCGGAGGGCACCAAGGCCGTCACCAAGTATACCAGCTCCAAGTGAGGCGCGTCCCTGGCGCCCCGAACCCAAAGGCTCTTTTCAGAGCCACCTCTAAGCTCAAAAAGGAGTGTGCCACCTCCTCTTGTGACCTGTGAGCCAATCGGGTGCTGGGGGGAGGGTGCACTGCGCAATGGAGGACATAACTCCTAAGATTGGACCTCTAGTTACTTACGGCACTTCCCCCCACCCCCCATCCCCTTCCTTGCTTTCTTTTTATGTCTGTTTTGCTTTAAATCAATCAAGTCAGCTTTGGCCATAGGAAGCTGGAACGGTCCAGGCGATGGCACCGGAGGAAATCAGGCTGCGTGGGGAGTGTACCGAGCTCCTCTGGCCCATCCTCTGCCACCCCACACCCCACTCCGTGTCCCCTCGTGCGTGAGACTGGAGGATGCCTTGGGTGTTTATACCGCCCTGGCTGGAGGGCTTGAAAACATCATTCTTCGCCTTCCCTCCCTCCCTCCCTAGCCTCCATTAACCACCGCGAACGTCTGTGGGAAAGCAAACTGCAGATGTGTTTAACATAATCAGCCCTTTACGTCGCGTTTCATTTCGGAAACACCACATCTGGTTCATGGGCACCCGCTTCACTCAACTAGGATATCCCAGCAAGATCTGTGTTCTTCCATACACTTATATACATGGGTTTTCCCCCATAGCAAACGGTGAAAAATCTATTTTATTTCATCCCCAGAAATGTGTGGGTATATATGTGTCTGAATATGAATGTATCTTACAAACATATAACTGAGCCTAGCAAACAGTGAAACATCCTTTTTAATAAAGGAGATTTTTTAATAAGAAAAATCCAATAGGTTATATGCAAAGTAAGTATGATGTCTACTTAATGGTATCAAGTAATAACCAAGGGATGCAAGTCTAACTGGGACTGAAGTGCACTCTAAAATGGGTGAAATATCGGCGATTTCTCAACCAAGAATACCGAGGGTCTACCCACTCTGGAGACCAGTTTCCATGAATTCGGATTTGCAGCTTGGTTCCCACCAGTGGACAATGGCCTGTCTTACTCCTCACACCACCTCCAATGACAGCCAAGCATTTTTGTCACTGTTTAACCTCTTAGAGTCTCCTAGAGTACATTCACTTCCTTGTGTTTGTAGTTTCTTCTTAAAGAGACAGACAGTTCCTTGTCTTCCTCCAAATTCTTTGCTCTATTCCCAAATTAGCAAATTGGAATTGAAAGGTCTAGCTGAGGTGGGGGAAGGGCAGACTCTTCAATGCATTCCAGACTGGATGCCTGCAAAATCCCAATTTTTTCTAGAGCCCTGCTTATTTATTAAAATATTTTATAATATTTTAAACTGTTTCAGATCCATAGAATGCTTAATTAAGTCCTAGCTTAGCCTCTGGGTTTTCAAATATTTGATGTTTAACTTAACCTGATTGTTCTTTTTATCTGTTATATGATAATGTAAGTACAGACATAGGTTCCATAGACAATCTCCCAATTTTCTTGATGACAAAAATCTCAATAGCAGTTCTTTGGCACTCCCTTAACAATCCCAGGCTAGGAGAGAGGAACAAGTCCTGCCCATTCTGGCCCTGGGCCTGCCAGTGTAGCCAATAGAGGCAGTCTATTACTTCAGACTTTAGTCAGAGCAGTTAGAAAACCTGAAAAATCACTCCATGTTTTGCATTATCTACAACAAAATGTATTCTTGTAGAGTTATATTTGGAAATTACGGGGCTATGTTTTGTTCATTGACTCTCTGGACTAAACAATGTTTCTACTGCTAACACAATCACTCTGCTGGAGACAAGTTTCATTTTATTAAATCTACGCATTCAGCTTTTGAAGGTAGAGAATCACATGGAACTGTGGGCCTAGTTCTAGTGACTATAAACACTCCTTTGAAACAACTCTGGGCTAGGGATGTAGCTCAGTGATAGAACAATTGCCCAGCACTTCAAGAAATAAATTTAATTAAAAAATATTTTTAAAGTCTTGACTCTCAATTTAGGTTGTTAGGAGGCTTAGGGTTTGGAGGTCTCAGTCATCTGGCATCTGTTTCATAGTGGAAAGGACTGAATTCCGTCATTTTCTCTATTGATCCTATATCTTGAGAGAATTAAGACTATTGACAGGTCCCGCTTACTTTCAATGACGGATCACTGTTTTAAGCTTCAGATTATTACTGAAAGTAAAGAATTGAGTAAAATATCTATGGCAGAATTTCCACTTCTACTGTGTTTATACATACACACACACACACATATATACACATACATATATACATATTTACATATATATATATATATAAACATAAAATACCTATGGCAGAATTTCCATTCCTACTGTGTTTATATATATGTGTGTGTATATATACATAAACAATTATTTTATATACATATAAAAATATATAAAATGATTGAACCCAAAGGTGCTTTACCACTGAATTATACCCCAGACCTTTTTATCTTTTGAGACAGGATCTCTCTAAGTTCCCCAAGTGACCTTGAGCTTGCACTTCCCTTGCCTCAGTCTTCCAAGTAGCTTAAGATCACAGGTGTATACTACAAGGCCCAGCAATTTTTTTTTTTTTTTTTTTTGGTACGGGGGATTGAACCCAGAGTTGCTGAACCACTGAGCCACATCTGGAACCCTTTTTAATATTTTGTTTAGAGATAGGGTCTTTCTGGGTTGCTTAGGGCTTTGCTGAGGCTGGTTTTGAACTTGTGATCCTCTTGCCTTAGCCTTCAGAGGTGCTTGAATTACAGGCATGTGTCACTGTGTTTGACCAATTTCCTTAAGTTTTTTTTTTTTTAAGAGAGAGAGAGAGAGAGAGAGAGAGAGAGAGAGAGAGAGAGAGAATTTTTTAATATTTATTTTTTATTTTTCGGTGGACACAACATCTTTAATTTTTAGTGGTGCTAAGGATCATACCTGGGTCCCACCCGTGCGAGGGGAGCGCTCTACTGCTGAGCCACAATCTCAGCCCCAATTTCCTTAAGTTTTTAAACATAGAAAACAATGGAATGGAGGGGAAGCTGTACGCTACTAGCATGAGACTACACAAGACCACCTATGCCGAAGGAGGCACAAGTACTTGCAGCAGAAGTCACCAAGAAAAGAAGAACAGAGGAACTACCAGCCATCTCATTAAAGAGTCAGTTTCACTAAACTTTTCTTATTTGCTCATGATCTATCATAATATACTTGTCTCACCGGCAGGGTAGAGCATGCCTGTAATCCCAGCTGCTCAGGATGTTGAGGCAGGAGGATTTTTGAGTTCAAAAAAAGCATGGTGCTAAGCAACTCAGTGAGACTCTGTCTCTAAAATATATACATATGTACTGCCCAGATATTTTATTTTTTTTGTCTCTAAGATATATATAATTGTATACTGCCCAGATATTTTCTTTTTTTTTTTTTTTTTTTTGGTACTGAGGATTAAACCCAGGGGCTCTTAACAATCAAGGCATATCCCCAGCCCTTTGTTTTGTATTTATTTAGAGACAGGGTCTCACTGAGTTGCTTAGGGCCTCACTAAGTTGCTAAAGCTGGTTTTGAACTCACTATCCTCCTGCCTCAGCCTCCTGAATTGCTGAGATTATAGGCGAGAGCCACCACACCAGGCCTCTGCTCAGACCAAAGAAATCTTTGGTTATCTAATGTATTCAAATCTTTTCTTGCAAAAAAAAACCCTTGATTTTTTTTTTTTTTTTGCAAGAAAAGTAAGAGATAAACCATAATACCTATAATTGCTGTAGGGTAAAATCCTGAGGCAGAAGAAAAATGGAAAAATAATGGTTCAGGCAGAAAATAAGCATCTCCTGAAATATCTGGCTGATATAGAATTTGATCATGTATTTTATGAACTGATTATGATATCAGATTGATGTTCCAATAGGTATATTTAAAATACTGATGTGGCCATTTTGCTTTTTAAAATGTCCTATGTTGGGATGTACATCCTTGCAGCTATTTGAATTTTTTATAAAAATACAATAGGTGACAACTTTAAAACGTGTGAAATTTCCAAAAATCCTTTTATGTGGACCCAAGCAGGAAAGAAGCGGGGTGGTGATACAGCCATTTTAGGGAGGACCTTGTTGTGATGACATTTCCTCCCCAGACCCACCAGTCTGCCAGTTTGCACCGTCCAGACACATGACAGACTAGGGCCCTGTGGAGACACTTAAAAGAAAAAAAAAAAAAAAAAGCGTGTATTTTACAGAATTTTATTTAAAAATTTCCTTGCTGGAGACAATGGTACAAACTCTCAATACTTCTCACAACAGAATCATTATTAATCCTTTTTTTCTTTTAATAAATAAGAAAAGTCAAAGCAAGAAAAAGATAAGCCGTGTCCCTTCCAGTATGAAAGCTTCATGCCAAAATGCTTTTCCTGAAGCACAATGGCACTCCTTAAATAAATGCCATGAATGTGAAGAAAAGAATTCAGTTACTAACACTTCACAGAAAATCATGCGGCCAAAAGGGGAGGCAGTTACATTTGCTCAAAACAAGGTAATTCCGTTCCTCTAACCTCCCCCCACCACTAAGGGTGAAAGCTGCTGGCAGCTGTCACTTACTAACCCAGCTCGCGCACAAAGCGCTGCGGTGATCCGCCAGCCTCCACTTCCCTCTTGTCCAGCATACTGTCATTGCAGGATCTTTCCAGGCAAACATCCTACCGGGATGTACTTTGCTTGAGGATAAAGACGTCTGATGCGGGCAGGGATGGAAAGGTGGTATGGCGCCACCGCCAGGCAGCGTTACAACACCCAAGGCCTCCCCAAACTCGTGGTCTGGCGCACCCATGATCTCGCCAAGGGAACACAGGTGATAAGACCGACGCTAGAGCCTTCGGGGGGGAAGTGACGCCCCTCACCTGCACGCCTGCTTTTTCGCAAGGGCACCGTTTCCACCGTTCCTCTACAATGGGCTGTTACATTCCCACACTCCGCTCACTCACTGGCGGGACGCACCCAGTAACTGGGAACCGCTAAGGTGTATAGGTAAAACATAGGGTTAATAACCCATCACCGTGTTCGAAACCCTTTCTCGACTGTGTAGGTGGCTCTGAAAAGAGCCTTTGGGTTCGGGGCGCCAGGGACGCGCCTCACTTGGAGCTGGTATACTTGGTGACGGCCTTGGTGCCCTCCGACACAGCGTGCTTGGCCAGCTCCCCGGGCAGCAGCAGCCGCACGGCCGTCTGCACCTCGCGGGAMGTGATGGTCGAGCGCTTGTTGTAGTGCGCCAGGCGGGAGGCCTCGCTGGCGATGCGCTCAAAGATGTCGTTGACGAACGAGTTCATGATGCCCATGGCCTTGGACGAGATGCCCGTGTCGGGGTGCACCTGCTTGAGCACCTTGTACACGTAGATGGAGTAGCTCTCCTTGCGGCCGCGCTTGCGCTTCTTGCCATCCTTCTTCTGTGCCTTCGTAATGGCTTTCTTGGAGCCCTTCTTGGGGGCTGGAGCTGAGCGAGAAGGCTCCGGCATGACGAGGTGGCGACAGAACCGACTGGGATGGTAATGCGTGGAGAGCAGGGCTATTTGTCATCTTTATATTCAAATGAAGGCTCCAAATCTCTAGCATCTGATTGGACAGCCTGTAGCCCCGGCCGAGACGACGAAGACTTTATGTAAATGAGAGATGCCGATTCTTCTTTCCTATTGGACCATAGTTCAACCAATCCAAAAGCGCATCTGCCGCGCGCCTGCGCTCAGGTTGTGTGTCTTTGTTCAAACCCTTTGTTTTAAACCCAGAGGAGATCTTGGGGTACTCTGCGTATCTGGGCTTGGCTAAAAGGAAAATGACAGCCTCGGGTCTGTTTTCTCTGCTATGAGGCAAATACGCAGGCAACAGCTAGAGAGAGAAAGCTTGATGCTTTTCCAGCAAGACGGAGGAAATGGCAGCTCCCACTGAAGTAACTGTTTATTTTCCTCATTCTCGCAGCCCTCTATAGACCAAAGAGATGCACTCCTTTTAGAATTCAAGAGCGAGGCCCGGGGCGGTGGTGGTGGKGGGGGGAATCAAGAGCAAATCCAAACGTTTCTTTGGGAAATACTGAGAATGCACTTAGGTACTTCCATTGGAAGTGTATAGCCAGACTGTTTTAACCGTGGAGAAGAATAAAACGTCAGTTTTTCATATTGTTTTGTTATTATTGTCCACGAAAACCCTGAAGTGTCAACCAGATTGCTATATGCTTGAAACTGGGATTTCACCAGTGTCCTAACATCTCCAGGGGCAGGCACGATTACTGTTGATTACTGTTACACTGTAATAAGCTTAGGGCACCCATCCCGGGTGCCTCCCCTACTACAGTGCCTTCCAGTAGAGAAACAAGGTGTTACACATTCCCATTTCTCACTTATTTCAGCATCTTCTGGACAACTGGCTAGAAAAACAGAATCTTAGGCGCCCTCCCCCCCCCCCCAAATGGATGAGTCAGATCCCATTTTAGAAAGATCCTTGCACACGTTATATACAGCGAGAAGTCCTGCGCTGGAAGCCATTTAGCTGCTCTACCTTCTTCGCAGCTCCACTTCTTCATCTTTAAAATGAGGTATCAGTGGGCTTGCTGTGAGTTAATGTGCCGGAAGCAGCTTGCAGGGTGCCCGCAAGTGTGTTTAATTCTTTCCTTCTCACAAGCCATCCAGCCAGCAGCAGCTTGGGCCGCCCCTCCAAGCTCCTCTTCCGGCTCTAGTACATTCACGCATAGCATGAGCCTTTCTCTTTCCCGCTGCAACACCGACTCAGCTGGGATCATCAGGGCAAAGGTGTACCTTCACCTCCTCATCTCCAGGTAGAACGCAGCGTGGCACCTGACAGATGCCAGTCAGAGCATGGGAAATGAACAATCCTGCTAGCCTGGCAGCGCCTTCTACTGTATGTAGGTTGTTCTGTTGGCTGAGGTTCCCAGGGGCATCCTGAGCTCTTGGGCTTCCTGAGCTGCTGTGCCTATTCTCAGCATATTGTTTCCTCTTAAAAACAAACAAACAAACCCCCCCAAGAATTTAATATATAATAAAGATAGCATCACAACTCAGTGGAGAAAAAAAATGGCCCAATTGTGTCAGAAAATGTATTAACTACGGGGGAAAATTAATTGTTCTCAGCTAGAGGAAAGGCTTTCAAAGTATTTTTAAAATTATAGAACTATGACCTTCCACACACAAAACTGGGGGTAAAATTATTTGCAATAGGAGACAAACAAAATATTAATATTCTTAATATAATAAAAAACATTAGTAAAGAAAAAACATTTTACAAAATAGTAAACTAGACTATGAAAAGACAACATGAAAAACATTAACTTCACTAATATCAAAGGGATGCATATTAAAAATGATAGCTGAGTGCAAAGGGGGACTCCTGAAATACCAGTGGCTCAGGAGGCTGAGACAGGAGGATCACAAGTTCAAGGCCAACCTCAGCAACTTATCCAGGCCCTAAACAACTTATTGAACCCAGGGGTGCTTAACCACTGGGCCACATCCCAGTGTTTAAGCACCCCTGGATTCAATCCCTGTTACCAAACAACAACAACAAAATGAGATATCACTTTTCACCTATTAAAATGATGAAAATAAAATATACACTATGCAGTGCAGGCATACACTTTCTTTCATACATTGCTTAAAAGAAAAAACAAGATGGCAATCTATTCCAATATGTGTCTACATTATATACTTCCTTCCAGAAATTCCACTGTCAAGCATCAGTCTCTTAAGGAAATAAACATGGCTGGGGGGGGCTGGGGTTGTAGCTCAGTGGTAGAATGCTTGCCTCACATGCGTGAGGCCCTGGGTTTGATCTTCAGCACCACATAAGAATAAATAAATAAAATAAAGATATTAAAAAAATAAAATAAACATGCTAGAACAGAGCTTGGCAGGAAGCTCCATCAACAGCATCCATAATAAGAAAAAAATAGAAACAACCTTGAATCACAGGCCACTTTAACAATGAATGTCATGAATTTACCGAATATTTTAAAGACTATTTAATGATGAGGTAATAATACTCATTAACTAAACACAGCAGTAAGGAAGCCTGCCTTGCATGCTTCTCCCAGGGACCACCACAATGTAAGTTAGAGGATGTAACTGAAAGGGGCCCTTCCAGCTTCCACAAGGCCCCTTTCTGCTCCAAGCCCCTGCTCTAGGCCTCCAGCTGAGGCCTTTCTCAGGACTGTTACCTATTCCCTCCCCTGCCTTCCTTTGTTACTGGACCCTAGTGCAAACACTGGTCTGCTCAGCAGCACAAAGACAGGCACACTTACATTACCTTAAAAGACAGCTTTCCCACAGTACCTATCAGCTGGTTTTGCTCCCCCAACACCTCTCTTAGGAAATGAGCTGTTTCTCCAACCCCTACCTCCATTCCTCAAAGCTTCCATTATTTCCTGCATATGATAGGCACTCAAATGATCCAGTAGTATAAATCTAAATCTGATAAGGGAAATCAAAATACTGTTTCAGAACTAGACAGGTTACTGTGTGCTTTCATTCCCTTCACATTTTCCTCCATCTTTTCTAGAACAAATTCATATCATGCATGCTTTTATAATAAGAAGAGAATAAACAACCAGAACCATTCTTGTTTCTGTTTTAACTGGCTCCTCAGTCAAGATTAGAGATGTGCATGCTTGCCCTGGGATCATAAATGAAACTCAGTTGTATGATTTCCATATATTTTGGAAAATGTTTAGGACCTGTGGAAAATTTGGTGGTATTCTTCCTCCTCACCAGTGGCCAGCCAAATACATAGAAGGTTTAGCTGTGAGGAGTTCTGCTGATTCTACCTGTGACTTTTCAGGGCTTATCAGTAGATCTGCCAGATGTTCTCAGGTCTACCAGGGCTGGTCCAGTTCTGTGATGTAATCCATTCAAAGCTCAGAATCTACAGGTTCAAACTCTCAAAGTGCTCCCCAAATAGCCTCCTAAGTTCACCACCTTGCCCCAGTATGGCCCCATATACTGGGGGGACTGGGTTGCTAGGACTGAATTGTGGTACCCTGAAATTCATAACTATTAGCATGACTTCCCACACCTGAAAACAAGCTTGTACTTGGAGATATGACCATTAAAAAGGAAATAAAAAGCACCTTAACCTCATGGTACTGGGGTCCTTTCAAGAATATATTAGGACACACATTCACACACACACACACACACACACACACACAGCAAGACTATAGGAGTCAGGAGGAGGACACTCATTTGTAGCAAGAGGCATCAGGAAGAACCACCTTCTTACAAACACCATGATTTTGAACTATCAGAATTATGAGAAAATAAATTCTAGTTCTTAAATGCATTCTGTGTCCTAGTATTTTCTTGGATAACAATTAGACATAAGTTATAGAGAAAAAAGAGAAAACAAAAAGAAGTCTAAGACAGTAATAAATGGCATCTAAAAGACTGAAAAAGTACCAAGCAGGACACTTTAAGCTACCGATTACATTAGATTACATTAGATTTGATTTCTGTAAACATGCAAAGCTGAGATTCCACCAGGAATCGGAACAGAGAATCAGCGCTTCATTGAGGACATTGTCAACCCAAATCCAGAATCCTGTCAAAACTAAACCTATGGGCCTTGTCAGTTATTCACCTCAGGGTCCTGTCAGTCCTCCACTTAAGGTCCTGTCAGTCTTCCAATTAGGGTCCTGTCACTTTTCCCCTCAGGGTCCTGTCAGTCCTCTCCTCACCTCAGGGTTCCCTCAAGTCCTCCCCCTCAGGGTCCTATCAGTCCTCCCCTCAGGGTCCTGTCAATCCTCCCCTCAAGGTCCTATCAGGCCTCCCCTCAAGGTACCCTCAAGTCCTCCCCTCAGGGTCCTGACCCTCCTTCCCCTCAGGATCCTATCAGTGCTTTGTAAGGGTCATTAATTCTTCTGGTTAAGGCATTGTGATTTCTTCACTTTTGTACTTTTTGTGGAAATTCCAAGTAGTTCTAGTCAATCTTTTAATTATGTCTTTTTGATTTCTTTGTGTTTGGAAACCCCAGAGGTATATTTTGGATTTTTTGTTTCTTAGTTTATGGAAAGGGCATTTTTTTTTTTTACTTCTGAAATATTTTGAAAATTGGTGTTTTTATTAAAATGCCAAATTTGGTAATTGGTTTTAATGTAGTTTTTTAACGTCAAAAGTTTGAAAGTATGTCAGGAATTTTCATTATATCTGGTGGTAAAGTCAACTCATCATTTATCTTTTTTTAGTTAGCCATTTATTTTGAAAAATTCATTTCTCTCCCTTTTCAATGTGACGTTTGGGATTGGGGTACTTTCTCTTACTTGTTGGCAGTGATTTTGGGGACAGCCTGAGCTCCAGAGTGTCTGGATGTGGATAATGCCTGTAGATGGCCTGTGCGGCCTCCTGGACCTGGCGGACTCTTTAGCTCTCCTCACGTCCCTCCCAACCTTTCCTCTGCCCTTCATTCATGCTAGGGTTTGAATACGGTCTGTCTCCACTGAAGTGTAGGTTGAAATCAC